GTATCTCGTCACTATCTTCAGTTCCTTATTTATTATTGTTATTTATTGAGTTGGTTGTACTCATACTACACCCTGCACTTCGTATGCAGATTCAGGTGTTCACGGCCGTAGCGAGTGTTGATTTCTTTCGCACAGTTAATTTTCGGGAGATTCAGAGGTAGCTGCCGTGTTTCGTAGACCTTGCCTCTCCTTCCCTATCTCCTTGTTTACTGTATTTGATTTTAGACTATTATAGACCATATTTTCCAGACTTGTATTCATATTAGATGCTCATGTACTCAGTGACACCGGGTTGTAGGAGTATTTATATTTGTACTTGTGAGATTTCTTTTGCTTAAATTAATTATTATATTTTCGTATTTAAAAGATATGTGATTTATTGAGATTTTCGGCTTGCCTAGTATTGAGATAGGTGCCATCACGACGGGTTAGTTTTTGAGTCGTGACAATAAATTTACGTCAAGAAAATAAAATCAAGATCAAAAAATATTACAACAATCATAGTATTTGATTTCGAGTATTTGAGTGTTACAATCTCTATGATTCCTCTGATTCTACTTTTTCAATATAAATTCAGGGGCCTTTGAGCTTAATCTTGAACCTATATTTGTTGCCACATATGATGATCTTGAATTCAACTAGCACGAACTTTGATTTGAACTCGTACTCCTTGAATCTTGATTTGTTCTTCATTTTTGAGCTTGAGCTTAAACTTGGTTTGTTCTTCGTTCTTGAGTTTGAACTTGATTTGTTCTTCGTCTTTGAGCTTGAGCTTGAACTTGATTGCTTGAAACTTGAAATTTGTGGAGGAATTTGCAGCGTTTGATCAACAAACTCTTTCTTGCTTCTAGTTATAACTCCTGGTGTCTTTTCTGGGTTATGAAGACCCCTATTTATAGTTGTGGGAGGAAAGAGTTATGATAAGAAGAAATTCTTTCCGACGAATCAAATTGAAGCGTGACAAAGCCGCATTTGATTGGCCAAAACATGTCGCTTGCACGTGTGGCACAATTTCATTGGCCATTTAATTTGACTTGGCATGCTTTTTCATTTTGACACATGGCATGATCCTATTGGCTCTTCCATTCGACTTGGCGTGCCACGTCATTTGACACGTGGCACCAAACTGGGCCTGTAGGAAGATGTCTTATTGGGCCTAACGAAGTGGGCTCATTATTTGTAGCCCAACTAAATGGGCTAGCCCAATCAATATTTATTGGATTTAAGTAATTAATTCAATTATATTAACACATATTTGTTTGGACTAATATACTAAAATATAGTCCACGTTGTTTTATCGATTTAAATTCGATAAAATTTAAATGCTTACGGCAACGACTATAGCTTTATTATACAAAATTTCCGAACTGTGTGGATAGCAAGCTCTTTAGATTCTTTCTTTTATCTCAGTTCTTATTTTCTTTTAAGACCGCCGAGAATTAAAAGAAGATGCACAACTAATTTCTTAGTTGAACTTCAAGGTTTAAAACCTCTTCCTCATTTTCTTTCGTTTTATTGTCCTTTTTCTTCTTCATTATGTTTCCACGTGTATGATTATGTAATCATTACAATTAGTTGACCTATACTAAATATGTTTAACGTGCGAATTAACAATGGCTTACGCAATGAACAAACCAACTACAAAGAGTTCATTATAGTATTATGCAATCCACCAAAACAACAATAGCATTGCCACATCAATATATATAATCGTAACTACATTTAGTTACTACTATTAGTCTTTCTTATTTTTCTTGTTTAAAAAAAATTACATTTCAATACTAATTTGTTAAGAATTAATTGAACATAGAAGATTAAGAGAAATATTTTCAAAAATATGTACAGTCGGACCTCTCTATAACAGCATCCCTATATAATAACTATTCACTATAAAAGCAAGGTTTTTCTCAGAACCGATTTATTAAGTTATATTTTACTTCTCTAAAATAACTTTTTATCTATAACAGCAATATCCAAATTTATAGCAGAACGTTCTTTATAAAATTACCCCTATAACATCTATATAGAATCTTTAAGATTACGAATAATTATTTTAAAAATATGCACTAATATTTTCCATTAAACAAAGTTTCTATCTTGTATAAGATTTAAGATTTGAAGATTTGCACATGATATATCATTGAATAAATTCCAAAAAATATTTAGATAGAAAATTAATTGTTAAGCTCTTAAATTATCTTCAAGGAAAAGCTATTGGATACCTTTTTGCTGAAAATTTAGATACGAATCTTCCCCAATTCAAGCATTATATCGCTAGTAAGAGAATGAAATCTACGAAACAAGCTACAATTACTAAGTTCTTCCATCAATCTTGAAACAAAATATTTTTTTAAGTAGCTTTAAAAGTCTGCTTTAGAGTTTAAATCTATATACTTTTAGTTATGAATTTATTAATAATGTATTAGCTTTCTTTAATACTTAACTAGTGAAGTATGCATATCTTTTAAAAATTTAAATTTTAATAATTTTCTTATGTTTTATTTGTAACATAAAAAATGGAAAAATAATTGATTTCTGGATAATTTTTATCTATAACAACGGAAACATATTTAAATGTCAGATGTCGTTATAGGTGTATAACAGCCATTCACCATAAAAGCCTAAAAATATAGGAACAAACGAGAGTGTTATAGAGAGGGTTGATTGTATATACATTAAAAGGTCACACGAAAAATGGGTCTAGGCAAGCACTCTTGGGATATACTATTACCATGCGGTTTAGATATAATATTGTGTTTTATGCTTTATGGAACAATTGTTTATTTGATTTATTCAATTCAATAAAGTATTATTTTAAATAGATCATTTGTTACATGTGTGTCCTTTAGTTATGTAGTAGACAATTTAATGTATGGAGCCTTAGTTCATGCAAAGAAGATTAAATTATCGGTTCTCATAATTAATAAACTATGTTCACAATCGAAGATATTGTTGAGCAAAATATCTTGATGATTGTAGCACAAGATTAAAGTATAATTTATCTTGATTATGAGAGTGGTTTTTCTCCAAATTCTTGTGCTAGTATACTTATTGTATATTGAATGGACCAAGTAGAGAAAATATATTTGTGTACTGAATATATATAAAATATTTTCTCTAATTCATTAAATGAGCTTATACTCCTACTCTTGATATAGCTATTATGATCAATGTGATTTGTTCATTGTTTTAATTTATCAAAAGGTACAACTCCATTCAGAGTTAGTGTATGCCTAATAGATTGGACAATAACGAATAGCATTTGTGAAATAATAATTAGTTGATAAAATCCGTGACTCGATTTTGAATTTGATGATACCCCTTTATGTGAGCTTATAAGTTTTCATGTGAAAATCCGGCCGGTGGATTTTGCATCTGTCGCATGAAATAGTTTAAGCGGAATTATAAAGGATTTAATTAATTGATTAAATTAAATTGTTAGTGATTTAGTTTAATTAACTGATATTTATAATCTTAACATGGGGAGTTAAAATAAGTGTTAGTGAATTTTCAAAATTCATATTGAGGAGTTCAATTACAGTTTTTTAGTGGAATAAACTGCAATGAATTATAGTAGGATTTAATTCATCTGTGGTCCTTTCTATACCTAATAAAAATCTTAACAGACTTAGGTAAAAGGTGGCTTGGGAGAAAAGTTATCCTTTTGAGTTAGAGTAGGATTCTACTTGCACTAGCAGAACCCTACACGTTTTAAACCATTTTGGCTTAATTTCGGGTCTACAAAAAGGAAGACGTTTTTTACCTAATAACTCACTCTTCAGAGTTGTATTATTTTACCCACTCAAACAATTTCGTCTAAGGTCTTACAAGGAGTATAGCAGAAGACTGCAACCTTGGATTCTTGCTCTGTGAAGGACATTGTGCAACATTTTTAAGAGGTTAGTGCTTCTAATATCCGTATTGAATGATTATCTAGTTTACATGTTTGTGATACTTGAGTTGTATGCTTTCTTCTATTGTGCATGTTCTAATAATTGGTATCAGATGTCGTCTTACATTTAACTAGATAATGTAATATAACATGAATAGAGTAACATTAAAATGTGTTATTAAATTATACATATTTGGTGTAGTTATTCTATGAAAACAATGGTGTTTTCTCAAAAAAATGTGACTATTTTAAATAGTATTTTAATTCTGAAATTATGGGTTAACATACCTAAGTATAAACAATGGTGTTCTATTTCATGAAAATAGTATTGTTTTACCCATGTTTGTTGTATTTATTCCATAACAATAATTTTTTATATATATAAAAATGAGATTGTTATAATAATATTTTGAGTTTTAAAATCATGGATTAATATATATAAGTATGTTATGTGATATGAACAAGTCAAAATAAATAGAACCCTAAAAAATGCCAAAAATAGATTTTGCAAATAGGTCATGAATTTGAAATTCTGTCGAACTCCGATTGACCGCAATACCCATCAGCTATGCTCATGACGTACGTCATTTTTCGGGCATTCAGGGGTCGTTTAGATGGGGTTTTGGCCATTTTTCTATTTTTTAGAATTTTTTTTAATAATTCTTTTAAAAGAAAACAGTGATGGTAGGGTTCAATCCCCATTGGTTCCAATCATGTTTTACAATAATATACTGAATTTATATGCTGACATAGGTCTTTTTCATATCGGATAAATTCATTATAGATGATTACTGTAGTTTTGCCTCTAATTATTTTATAACTTGTATTAATTCTCCAATTGAGTTACATGTTGATTCAATGAAACTAGGATTTATAATAGTGATATTTACCAATCTTAAATTGACAGTTTACTCTCCATCTGAGTTGGTCCTATTTTTATGGGGGTAAATATCTTACATAACTTATATATTTTGCATGAATAGTTAAGTTTTCCTAACGAATCTAATTGTTCAATCAGCATGGTTATGTGTAATGTGCTATTTTGAATTTTATTATTCTAATTGCATAACTAATGATCTATTTAATGTGAATATCTCTCAGATTAACCATGTCTTCATTCAACCCACTTACCTCAATTTTGAACCAAAACAAGTTAGAAGGACCGAATTATGTTGACTGGAAAAGGAACTTTGATATTGTCCTAACCGCTGAAGGTTACAAATTCATAATCACTGAAGAGTGCCCAGAAAAACCTGATGAAGATACTACTGATGATCAGGTTAAGGCCTATGAAAAATGGGTTAAGGCTGATGAGATAGCGCGATGTAACATTCTTGCCTCTATGGCGAATGTATTGCAACATCAGCATCAGTCTATGGGGCCTGCTTATGACATGCTCGAAAATCTCAAAGAGATGTTCGGTGAGCAAAATCGTGCGGCTAAGCAGACAGCCATGAAAGCCCTTTTGAATACCAAGATGGTTGAATGATCATCAGTTAGGGACCATATTTTGAAGATGATGGATCTTCTGAATGAACTGGATGTCCTAGGAGCTGTGATTGATAAGGAATCTCAAGTTGAGATGGTCCTGTAGACTCTGCCTGACAGTTTTCAACAATTTTGATTGAACTATAATATAAACAAAATGGATTTATCACTTGCAAAATTGTTGAATGAGCTACAAGCGGCAGAATCTATTATCAAACAACAAGCTTAAGTTGTGGCACTGAATGTTGAGAAAGTTTCGGTTTCTAAGTCGAAAGGTGGTAAGAAAAAGAAGAAGGCTCATAAAGTTTTGGCACCTGGAGGTACGACTGTTGGTGTGAAAAATCCCAAAGGAAAGTGCTATCATTGCAAGTAACCTGGGCATCATAAAAAGCAATGCCATGCCTATATGGCAAAGTTGAATAAGCAAGGTAATTCAAATTTAAATGTCATTGAAACTTGTTTAGCGGCTCTCTCTACCATGTTTTGGTGTGTAGATTCAGGAGCCACTAATCATATATGTACTACTTTGTAGGGGTTTCAGGAAACGCGACGGCTAAGTGAGAACGAAGTTTGCATTTTTCAAGCCAATTGCGAGCAAGCACCAGCTTTAGCATTAGGAGATATTAGAGTTTTGTTTAGTAGTGGTAGAGTTTTAGTTTTGAAAGATGTCCTTTATGTGCATTCTATTAGAAGGAATTTGATTTCAGTTTCGAAAATAATGGATGCTGGTTATAATATTTATTTTGCTAATAAATATGTTGTTATTAAGTTTAATAAATGTTTTATTTACAATGCTGCTAGAGTACATGAGCTTTTTATTCTTAATATATCTTCTCGTTTGCTACAACCAAAAGAATTAAATAACATTAATCTGCCACATAAAAGAAAAAGTATTTTTGAATTGAGCCAAACTTATTTGTGGCACTTACGTCTAGGTCATATAAATATAAATAGGATTTTGAGGTTGGTTTCAGATGGACCTTTGAGTTCATTGAAAGTGGAGGCACTGCCAACATGCGAATTCTGTTTAGAAGGTAAAATGACCAAGAAACATTTTCTGTCAAAAGGAAATAGAGCTAGCGATAAGTTAGAATTAATTCACTCTGATTTGTGTGGCCATATGAATATACAAGTAAGAGGTGGTTTTGAGTATTTTGTGACTTTCACATATGATTACTCAAAATATGGATATATTTATCTGTTGCGCCGTAAGTCTGAATGCTTTGAGAAATTCAAAGAATTTAAGACAGAAACGACATGATAAACATATCAAAACATTGTGATCTGATCGTGGTGGTGAATATCTTTCTACGGAATTTATTAAATACTTATCAGATTGTGGAATTACATCTTAATTATCTGCCCCAGGAACACCACAATAATAAAATGGTGTGGCAGAAAGAAGAAATAGAACCCTTATGGAAATAGTTAGATCAATATTATTTTATTCTGATTTGGCTTCTTCTTTTTGGGGATATGTTTTAGAAACATCAAATTACATTCTGAATCTGATTCCTTCAAAGTCAGTACCTTCAACCTCAGCAGAATTGTGGATTGGGCACAAGCCTAGTTTACGGCATATTCAGGTTTGGGGTTGTCCGGCACATGTGCTGAAAGGGAAAGCGGATAAATTGGAATCGAGGATAGAAGTGTGCATTTTTATTGGATATCCAAAGGGAACGAAAGGAGGTTTGTTTTATTGTCCCAGGGAAAAGAAGGTAATTGTTACAACAAATGCCAAATTTTTAGAAGAGAACTATTTAATGAACCATTTCCTAGAAGTAAACTAGTTTTACAGGAATTAAGCAATGGAGTAGCTAATGACTCATCTCTGGAACGTATCCCGGAAGCCAATATTGACATACCACTGCATTATTGTAGTGGGAGAAATGCCAATAGGCAGCAGAACGCACAGGAACAATTTCCTGACATCTCATTACCCCAAAGTAGTAGGAGTAATGTTGAGCAACCTCAGATTGTTGAGCAACCTAAAATGGTTGTACAACCTTCACTATAGGAAGAAGTTAATGATATCCCAGTAGCGCAAGGCGTGGAGAATAAGATTGATGCTTCAGTTCCGGAAAATGATGTTATGGTTCAACAACAAAATCAAACTGCACCTGTAGTGACTAGTCGTAGTGGGGGAATTATTAAAAACCTCTCTGGTTTGCGCTATTGAGAGAATCTTATGATAGAATCCATGAAGAGCCTAATACAAAACCTCTTAATTACAATGAAGCACTACAGGATACAGACGCTGATAAATGGGTTATTGCTATGAAATCTAAAATGGAGTCCATGTACTCCAATAAAATCTGGGATTTTGTAGAACCACCTACTAGAGTCAAACCTATTATTTGTAGATGGATCTATAAGAAAAAGAGAGGAGTAGATGGAAAAGTGCAAACTTTTAAAGTTAGGCTTGTTGCAAAAGGGTTTACTCAAAAAGAAGGGATCGATTATGAGGAAACCTTTTCGCCAGTAACCATGCTTAAATTTATTAGGATTTTCTTATCCATTGTTGCTCATTACGATTATGAGATTTGGCAAATGGATGTCAAGACGGCTTTTCTTAATTGACGTCTTGATGAGTACATCTTATGGCACAACCAGTTGGTTTCATAAAAAGTGGTAATGAGGACATGTTGTGTAAATTAAAGAAATCCATTTATGGAGTGAAACAAGCTTCTAGAGCATGGAATACTTGTTTTGACACATCGATTAAAACCTTCAGTTTTGATCAATGTGAAAACGAGTCTTGTATCTATAAGAAGTGGGATGGAGATAAAGTTACATTTTTGGTTTTGTACGTAGATGATATTTTGGTCATAAAAAATAATGTGAGCATGTTGAATTCAGTAAAGGAATGATTGTCCTCGCGTTTTGATATGAAAGACTTGGGACAAGCGACACATATCCTTGGGATCAAGCTTATGCGAGATCGCAAGCGAAGGATATTAGGCTTATCCCAATAACTTTATATTGATACTATTCTCACCAGGTTTAGCATGCAAGATTCCAAGAAAGGTTTTCTTCCTTTTAGGCATGAAATCTCACTGTCAAAAGATCAGTCCCGAAAAATGACTAATGAGATAGAAAAGATGAAGGCAATCCCTTATGCTTCTGCTGTAGAGAGTCTCATATATGCTATGTTATGCTATGTACTAGACATGATATCTACTTTGATGTTGGCATGGTTAGTAGATTTCAGTCTAATCCTGGACGAGAACACTGGACGGCCATTAAACATATAATCAAGTACCTGGAAAGGACTAGAGATTATATGTTGGTTTATCACTCAGGTGATTTTGCACCCATTGGTTATATTGATTTAGGTTTCCAATCAAATAGAGATTCTAGAAAATCTACCTCAGGATATATTTTTACCTTAGGAGGTGGAGCCATAAGTTGGAGGAGTATCAAGCAATAATGTGTTGCTGATTCCACCATGGAAGCCGAAAATATGGCTGTCTCTGAGGTAGCTAAAGAGGTTGTTTGGCTCAGGAACTTTCTAAAATAGCTTAATGTAGTTCCTTCAGTTCAAGCACCATTGTACTTTATTGTGACAATAGTGGTGCAGTTGCAAACTCGAAGGAACCAAGAAGCTATAAAAGGAGTAAGCATATTGAGCATAAATATCATTTAATTCAGGACATAAATCAGAGAGGTGATGCAAAAGTGTTAAAGATTGCGTCAGAGAATAATTTAGCAGACCCGTTTATAAAGAGCTTGCCACAAAATATTTTTGACAAGCATGTAGAAGGAATTGGGTATTAGAATTGTAGACGCATGGTTATGAGTCTACATGGGAGATTATTGGGATATACTATTACCATGCGGTTTATATATAATATGTATTTTATTCTTTATGCAACAATTATTTATTTGAATTATTCAACTCAATAAAGTATTATTTTAAATAGATCATTTGTTACATGTATGCCCTTTAGTTATGTAGTAGATAATTTAGTGTATGGAGTCTTAGCTCATGCACAGAAGATTAAATTGTCGGTTCTCATAATTAATAAACTATGTTCATGACACTAATGAGTCACCATTCTTGATTAAGAAACCTGTGACAGATCTTGTAGTAATAGGGCAGACAGCCCAGTCAGCATCACAATATGCAGTCACAACATTACTATTTTTGCTAGATAAAAGTATTCCCTGACCTGGTTAGTTTTTTATATACCTTACTATCCTTAAGGTTGCTATCATATATGACTGTTTAGGTTGCTGAAGAAACTGACGTAGAGTTTGTACTCCAAAGGATATATCAGGTCTGGTTACAGTTAGATAGAGCAACTTTCCTATGAGTCTCTGATAAGTAGCTTGATCAACCAAGGGATCTTCTTCAACTTGACTCTTTGTATTAATTTCCTTATCATATTGTGTTGAAGTGAGCTTGATATTTGTATCAATAGATGTTTCTGCAGGTTTGGCAGCAGTCAATCCGACTTCTGAAATGAGTTCTAAGGCATATTTCCTCTGATGCATATTGATTCCTTCCTTAGATCTTGCAAATTCAATACCTAAGAAATACTTCAGATCTCCCAAATCCTTCTTTTTGAAGGTTTTTTGAAATGAGATCTTGGTTTCTTCAATCACTTTCAGATTATCTCGTGTAATTAACATATCATCTACATACACTTAAGTAATGACAATACCTTCAGTAGTTTTCTTAATGAACAGAGAATGATCAAATTGGCTTTCGTTAAACTGAAACTTTATTAATGCTTCAGATAATTTAGCATTCCATTATCTTGGACCTTGGTTAAGACCATACAAGGATTTCACAAGTCTGCAAACTGTCCTTGTCTCCCCCTGACTTGAGAATCCTTGAGGCAAGTCCATGTATATTTCATAATATAAATCACCTTAAAGAAAGTCATTATATACATCAATTTGATATATGTGCCATTTCCTAGCTACTGCCAAGGCTAAGATAGTTTTGACTGTTACCATTTTCACAACAGGTGAAAAAGTCTCTTGATAGTCCATTCCTTCTTGTTGACTGTACCCTTTAGCAACTAATCTAACTTTAAATCTCTCAACTTCTCCAAAGCTTTGTACTTTATTTTGTATGTCCACTTGCGGCTAGTAGGCCTTTTCTCTTCTGGTAAGGTAACTAAGTCCCATGTATGGTTATTTTCCAATGCTTTGATTTCTTCTTGCATAGGTTCTACCTATTTTGGGACTTTCACTGCCTCAAAGTAATTTGAAGGTTCCACAGTAGATGAAAATGAGGCAACATAGGCCTTATATTTGGATGACAGATTATCATAGCCTATATACATGTCTAAAGCATATGGTGCATCATTGTGAATGTTCAATGATACAGAGTCCTTCATCCAAACTAGAGGATTTTTGTCTCTTGATGATCTTCTGGTTGCAGGTTGTATGTTCTGTTGAATATCATCTACTGGTTGTATATTTGGTAAATGCTTATCTGGTAGGTGATTATCTGATAATTGTTGTTCAGGTAGCTGAGATATTTGTGTTAGCATTTCATGATTTTATGGTATAGAGACTTCTGAACTTGCTTATGCTTGAATAGGTTGGTTGGTTGGTTAAACCTTCAGTATGTGTAGGAATAGTGTTTGATTGACTGTGTAGGTATGTTTCAAATGTAATTTTAGAGAAACTATCTTATAAAATTCCTATATCTTGAGTAACAAATAATGGCTATGAGTTTGTGCTTGTTATGCTGAAAGGAAATGTATCTTCTCTGAATGTAACATCTCTACTGACAAAGAAATTATGATTACTTATATCATATATAATGTAGCCTTTGTGAATGTCCGAGTACCCCATATGCATAACCATTTTAGCTCATGGCATCAACTTGTCATGTTCTTGTAGTATCTTAGCAAAACATTGGAACCCTAATATTCTAAGATGATTCAAAGATGGCTTCCTTTTGTATAGCCTTTCATAGGGTGACATATTGGCAATGACAGAACTGGACATTATGTTAATTAAATAGACTGTTGTTAAAATGCAGTGCCCCCAGAATTTGATAGGTATATTTGCTTGAAACCTCATAGATCTTGTAACTTCTAAGATGTGCCTATGCTTCCTTTCAGCTAATCCATTTTGTTGAGGAGTGTAGGCACATCTTCTTTGGTGTATATGTTACACCCTATATTTCCGTACGTAAAACTACGTCGTGAGCAAACTAATGTAGGACCAAAAATGAGATCATCTTTGAAAATATATAAAGTAAGTTAATCATGTTACCTCGGAGGTTACAAATATTGAAGATCATGAACAACAAGTACAAAGAGGGTTGAAAGATTCAAAAGCTAAAGGAATTGAAGAAAATAATATTTCGTCGAAAGTCGACAAGTTGGGAATGTTATAGCATGTACTTTTGGGGTGAGACCAGGGTGTTTAACATGATAGATAGGTTATGTTATGAGTTATGTTATTAGTATGATAGTCATGTGTTATGTTTTAAAGTCAAGCGAGTGGTGGAACAAAGGTCGATGAAAGTCATCACAAGTTACGTTCATAAGTTTTACTGAAACTTTGGGTCAAATGTAACTGTGATTTTATCCCAATATCCTAGGGTTATGGGGTGTTACATCAAATTAAAGATCTATAAGTCTATTTTCTAACTCATTAAACCGTTTGTCAATACGATATCAGAGTAGAGAGATATGGGCATTTTTGCGAGACTGCACAGACTGTCACCAACTTGCTTAAACGAGAATCCAAAACTGGGCTAGTTCGAATCATCCAAAAATGGGCCAGTTCGGGACATTCAAAGAGGACTTTTTAAATGCCTATCCCCTTCATATATTAGGCTGATAATAGGGAAAAATAACTAGACTTAATCTCTGCAAAAATTTCCCACAAACCCCAATTGATTTTCTATCCCTTTCAAGTTCAAATTGGAGGTAAAGCCTAGAGTTTGAAGAATCAAGATAGGAGCTGAGTTATCCAACAAATAAGGTAAGTTTAATGCTCTCTTTCATACATTCTTCTCTTCTATAGATGCATAGTAAGTTGTTCTATATTTGTAAGAACTCACTGGACGGTGATCGGAAGCCATGAGTTTGAGTTATTCACTTATAGCGGACTATTTTGTGGACTGTTTGGTGTTGTTGTTGGGATGCGTGATTTACTATTATTTTGTAGAGTTTTGGAGGAAGGGTGTAGAGAAATACCACATAAATGTAGGATGTTGGGCTGGTCGTTTGTCGTAAAATTTTCGGGTTGTTGACACTACTACGACGGTCGTTTTGTGTATGAAGTGATTGGGGCGTGTTGGGCTATTTTGTAGTATTGTGTGGTGTACATAAGGTTGGAAAATAATGTATATATGTTGTTATTATTGTTTTTGGTGTTGTTGGTGTTATCTTGAATTTGGAGGAAGTAAGGATTATAGGGGAGATGCTGTCCATTTTAATACAAAATAAGCTTGTTGTTCGTTGTGCGATAATTGTACCTTTCGTAACTTAATGATAGTATTATTATCATTGTTGTAGATTAAGGTGAGAAGAGGCGAGTTCAACTTGGTGATTGGAAAGACTATGATAAGGTATGTTAAGGCTAAGCCCTTCCTTCATTTGGCATGATCTCGTAGCTACATGTGTTTGATAATGAGACATAAAGAGAAGTTCATATTCATGAATTTATTCACATTATCCTATTCTCAGAAGTTACAGTATTCTCCCTTATCGAGACTTTATATTCAATTGAGTATTGTCTTCTTCCAGTCAAGAGAGA